CAAAACTGGAGGGCGTCTCCTCCATCTGCAACCTGAGGACGCGCCATGCCATGGTGACAAGGGACCCACCTAACATGGTGATTTGATTTAAGCAAAACATAAAAGCATGCAAAACTATTTATATTTATCTAATACAGGGTGTTCAATCATTGAGGAAACCGGGGAAGTAGCTTCAGTTGTATACAATATTTCTTACAGATTGCTGCTGTAACTGCCGATAGCAGAATGAGTCATCAGCACTAATAAACGCACACTCTTGCTAGCATTGAGCGGATGGATCATTTCTCCGCAACTATTCCCTCACATCAGTTTCCATACATGCACACGTTTTAAGAATACTGTGAAGAGATAACACAAACTTACCTTGCTTAAAAGAGGTGCTGAAAATGACCCCCTTCTGCTTGCAAACATGCCTTGCATTGCATAAATAAATTATCCGACACTTTCTGAAGTTTGTCCATGGTAATTGAACTAATTACACATGTTATTTCATACTGCAGAGCTTCACTGGTGCTAGTATTATTCTTGTAGACTTCTCCCTTTAGGTTTCCCCAAAGATAAAAATTGCAAAAACTGAGATCTGGGAGGCCACAGTCCTCTGCTGATTACTCTGTCTTCAAACACTTCCCACATTGCGACCATGGATGCATTAGCCGTATGTGCTGTAGCATTGTTTTGCTGAAAATACCCATACTGTCTTTCTTCAACAGTCAGCCGTTTGAAGACTGGATTCAGTATATTATTAACATAGCAGTCAGAGTTCACGGATTCGTGAAAAAATAAGGGGCCATTGATTCGCCGCAGACTTAGAGCACAGCACACTCCCACCTTTTCACTATGTAATGGCACTTGCTGTAGAGTGTGAGGATTTTCAACGCTCCATATTGTTACATTTTGTGCACTGACATGACCACTAACGTGAAACCACGCCTCATCAGTTGTGAACAGAAGCTGTGCATCCATGATTCCATCATGCACATTTTGCAGCAGCTAGATGCAAAAACGAATTCTTGCTGCATAATCTGGTTGTTTCAGCTCATGCACAACTGTTATTTTATATGAGCAAAATTTGATTAATATTGTGGCTGTGAAAGCAGATCCTAGAGAAACATCGGTTTCCTGTGCTAAGCGTCTTAACGATTTTGGAAGACTGATCTGTAGTTGTGCCTCAGTATCCCAAACCTTTTCTTCAATCAGCACAATCCTCTTTGATTGCTTCTTTATGTCACACACCAAACCTGTAGCCTGTCACTTTTTCACAAGCTTGGATACACACGACTTTGTGGAAACTGGTGAATCAGGATATTTACAACAAAACTAATGGATACATTTTCTGTAAGTTCTTTTCCTTGCAAAAGTTTCGACAATAAACATGCTGTTCAATAGTGAACTTCATTTCAGTATATATGTCCACTGCCGAGACATCTCTAACACAGACTATTACTGCAATGTAACTGAACTGATGGCAGTGACAAGTTCACGCCACCCAACCATGTGCGTTTATCATTGCTAATGACTCATTCTGCTATCGGGAAGCAATCTGGGAGGAATTCTGGGTGCGGTCCAGCAGTGTAGTGAAGTTTCTGGAACGCAGTGTATTTGTTACTCTTCTGACTCTGCTCGAATTTGATTGACTGTGCACTTTTAAGGTTGGGGGGAGGGGTCCTATGGCACAATCAGCCTTTAACATGGAAGCCTGGGCAATATTCACAGAGTAGCACACTGACAGCTAAATGAGAAGTGTTCTGCTAACATTAACCTTACATCATGAAGAACAGGACGGCTGTAAATCCTGAAGACAAAACTATTCTCACTGCATTGTTCTAAGTAGAAGTGGAAGTAACTGAGTTAGCCGGTGTTTCAGTTATTAAATAAGGACAGTTTTGTACTGATAGTAGCATCTTAAATGCAATATGCAAAATTTTATATATATATATATATAATTCTGTATGCTTGATGTTGACTTATGGATGTTTTGTGTGTTATTATAACTGTGCATATAGTTCTCTATGCAGTATTCATATTTGCATGTTAGGTGTGTTGTGGCAACTTGTCTAGATATAATTCCCTACTGGGTTTCTTATATTGCTGAGCTGTCTGTGTATGGAGATCATGAAATGTGCATGGCCAACTATACACACTGCTATAATGACACACATAACATCCATGCCATGGCACCAAATACAATGCAACAGAATTATAACATATATATTTTAATGAACTTTTAATTATTTCTATGAAAAATAATTTAAAAAGTGACTTCATAAATTAAGGCTTAACAGGCCAAGACTAGCCATATTATGGGAGGAGTCTAGGGGCAGATTTCAATCTGCTAATGAAACTGATGTGCATCTGTTATCCATTTGTGTTGCTAAACTAAAGACTCATCTTGCAATGGAAATGTAACTTCCAATATTCTGAAATCTTGAGCCAAATACTGATCTGCTATGAACATCTACAGCCAGCATTAGTTCTTGTCACGCACATTATTTAGTCTGTAGAATCACTAATATACTCAGGCAACATTTCTGTCTCCTGAATTTTCTTAATACACAATCTTTTCACTCAGAGCAAAGTTGCTCTTACTGGTAAGGAACAATACAATGTGAGATTTGAGGAGGTCATGGTGGTGACTGAATGCTGCTAACTTCTGGGATTTAACGCTGTGTAGTCTGATGCATGTTTACCAATGTTTCAGACTTATATCAAACAGTGTGGTATTCCAGCCCACAAGATTGTACTATTCGGTAAGGTGACAGATAAATCATGAATTGGAAGGATATGGCTATGGAATAATGAAGGTACTGTCTTGGCATTTTCCTAGAGAGACTGAAGAAAACTTTAAAATACCTTAGGCAGGGTAGCTGTCATCCTAGCCAAGATTCAAACTGAGCATCTTCCAATATGAGTCTAGAGTATTACAGCTGCACCAACTTGCTTGGTTGGTAGCTCATGGCAGCAGATCTGCTTCTATTGTCTTCACCCTTATTCTTGTATTAGTCCACTTAACATATCAGATGGGTGCATCAGTTTCATTACTATCCTGACACTGCAGGACATCATGTTTAAAGGGAAAACCTTTATGGCTTTTTTTGCATCCTACTTTAGTTGTGATGCGTTCTGGAGTTTTAAAGCTTTTGGTAGTCACTTTTCTGTGAGATTCATGTCTAATCTTATGAACAAGAACAGACAATGCTCAAATGGCAATGTTCAATTTTTCCAGCAGGTCAAATTTATGATAGACTGTCAGTTATAATGTTGGTGGGTCACAGAGGGTGGGGTGCAGAAACTTGCTTTTTTGAAGGCAAATAAAGGAAAAATTATTGCTGATAGACAAAATTTATGTTTAGCTAATGAAAGAACATAGTTTAAAGTTTTAAATCATGCAGGTTTAAACAAAATATCTTGAAGGTGGTGGCCACCGTTCTCTATGCACTGATGCAACCGTTTTCTGAAGTTCCCCTCTGCACGTTCCTATATGTGCACCGGAATTTGGGCTACTTCCTGCCGAATAACATTCTTCAGCTGAAGCAGGTTTGTGGGGCAATGTTTAAAAACCTCTGCCTTGAGGTATCTCCATAAAAAAATCACAGGGCGTTAGATCAGGTGAGTGCGCTGCCCATGGGATGTCACCTCGAAGCGAGATGAGCCATCCGGAGAACTTTGCCCTCAAAAGTGTCACTGAAGCTCGGGCTGTGTGGGCCGTGGCACCATCCTCTTGGAACCAGACATTTCCTAGATGCATTTCTTCAAGAGCTGGTTCGAAAAAGTTTTTAATCATGTCCACATACTGCTGTAAATTGACAATAACTGCATGATTGTCTTCTTCAAAAAAATAAGGGCCAATAACTGCAACTCTCGACAACACACACCATACTGTCACCTTATCACTGTGAAGTGGCCTCTCATGGAGCTCTCTGGGATTGTTACTACTCCAATAGTGCATATTCTGCTTGTTGACATATTCAGATACGTGAAAATGTGCCTCATCACTCAAGAAAACAATCCATGATATGTATACAGTTGCCGTCTTGTAGTGCACTCAATTTCACCTGTTACTTCACGACATGTTTCGGCAACATAGTGTCATCATCAGGTGCCCTAATTACGCTAATCTATTGCATTGTTTGCCATTATATGTCTTTATAAAATTATTTAAAGAAGTATTTAAAAAGTGTGCATTCATCAACTATAATAAATTTACACACACTAAAACTTGTTAAGATTATTCATCTTATGTGTCTTAATTAAAACTTGTGTGTGATTCTTCCACTATGGGGGTCGTTTTTCTTATATTCTGTGTAAACCGTGTCTTGTGATGTGTGTTCCCTTTTTACCTGCGACTCGCAGCTGACACACATATGACCACATATAACGCTAACCTTACTTCCAGCACAATAAACAAACGACTAGTGTGCAAGGGTACGTTGTTACTGTGCTTTCCTGAGACCCCACCAGATGTTCGTACCATAAGAAAATTCCAGTATTATCAACTTGCGTGCCATGTGAGTTATGTGTGGTGACCCATTTTCATTTGAGTGCCCTTATAAGTGGGTCTTTAGAAATATTCAAAATAATTACAGTAAAATGAAACACCTAATATATCAAATATCAAATGCTGTCAAATGATGATTTAAAAGAAGACTTAAGCGTTATTTCTTATATTTTATACAATATTAAAAGGATATTATGTAGTAGCTAGCTGCCTTCTGGTCACAATGAAAATTTTTTGCATGGTTCAAGAAATGTATACAAAACTGCAGCTAGAAACTTCATATAGGAAGATCACTTGGGATACCTACATATTATGAGAGGATAATACTGAAATATTTCTTGATTAAATGGGCTGTGATCTGACAGCCTGATCCTGCATTAGAGATATTTCAACACTATATAGTGTGAGATACTGATAGTGTTGTAAAATAGCGCCACCGCCATAAAAAGGGTGAGTCCCACTGATATTAAACACGATCTTCAATCTATTCTTAGGACATCTTTACCTTCAATGAGTTTGGTATCGTCCAGTTCTCCAGAGGTCTGATGCCGCAGCCACTGTCGTTCCTTTGACTTAGCTTGCAGACTGTTGAGTATCACCCTCAGAGCTTGTACCTAGGCACAATGATGCACAGTGTAACAAAGAGGCAACAAATGCACTGAAAATACTGGAGCTCCCTCCTTCAGTAATGACATTATGACTGAAAACATCACATAATGTTAGTCAATACAACAAAACAGGATCAAATTAAAATCTGTTTACAACTTTCTTTGAAAGAAATTTCTGTAACAATATTCCAGAGACTTTATTAATCCTTCAGTGAGGGCATTTAAATCCCATCATACACTCTACTTTGTGGTAGTATTTTTAAATGTCTCTTTAATTTTTGCAGTAAGATACTTGTATTTAAATTGGGATAACTTTGACTCTATATGGAGTAAATAAAAGTTTTCACTGCCGTTTCACATGACACTAATTTATGGAAATAAGTGTGGTAGCTCCCAAAGCAACCATCCAAATCCAAACCAGCTTCACAATCATGGCAGCAGCAGACTCAGTCCTTCCTCTTCCCTTATTGTGAGCACACTGCACATTGCCTTTGAGCTGTAGATTTCATTCTGGTGGCAGAAATTCTCTCCAGAAAATGACATTCAATGAAGCATTTTATGAAGTGATTCAACAGATGAGCACCCATGTACAGGATGAGGTACTCCAGATTCATACTTTCCATGTCCTTTGGTGAGATGCAATGTTAATGGGCCAGTTTTCTTGTTTGCCAGTAGAGATTAACATATTATCATTGCACTATGAATGGTAACACTGAATAGCCTCTTGAATAATTTTACATACCACTTGGAACCTTTGTTTTCTTCCACCAATTATCTTTCAAGTCAATTCCTCCAATAGGGATATTGCAGTCACACACAGCAAGAGGCTCTGTGATGTTTCTGCTTGTACAGATTCTGACAGACATCTTGTCTGTGTGTTATGTGGAAATCATTCCCATTCATGTCTTACTTTAATAAGCGAGGGGTTCGGCTTCTCCTGAATGCTGACCATACTGTTCTTCCTTTTTCAATTTTTTTGACTTTCACCAAGAGAGGAACAATTTTTCTGTTAATATGTAATATGCCAACATGGTCAGTTTCCTCTGATTTCAGGAAATGTGCTAATTTTAAAAAGTCACAAAAATTTCCCATCCAGTGGTTATGATCATGACTCAACAGAGGTCCCACAAGTTTCATCACTATTACGGCAGTTTTACTTACATCAGAATTCATGTATTGGTTGACCAGTTACATGCCATGTCCTGCATAAATTATGAAAGACCAAATTTACTCTGTGTTCGATTCAACAAGCTGCAAGATTTTGCAAAAATATTGGCAGCATTCAGAGATATACATTGCTTGAAAGACAGCGTTTCCACCAAATCAAAGACTCATCTATAGCAATTTCCTGGATTTGAATGTGCAAATTCTGGAATTTCTTGTTTAAGTACAGAAGAACTAGGTAAATTTTAAAAGTCTCGCAGGTCCTTGATATTTATTTACTGTTGTGTTCTCAGAGAAATTAAATCAGACAATGAGCTCCAGTCTTTGAAGCAGTAGCATTTCACAAATAAAAAAAAAAGGCGCAAGGAACAAGTAGTTCCTGCTGTAGGATGACCCCTGTTTTGCCTTGGGTAAAATTTTCAGCATCACAAAGAGGGCTAAAACAATGTTAATCTTATCCACTGTAACAACCTGCTATTTTCTTATCCAAGAGTGAAAAGTGAAGAGAGTGACACTTTTTGCAATTTTCTGCAATACATATCTGTTGTCTCTTTCATTATGTGTTTTGTATGAACAATGTCAAAAAAAAAAAAAGCTTCTAAAACTCTGATGTGTCCGTGTCACTAGAATGGAAATGCAATCAACAAATGCCAAAAAGATGTATCCTGTGTAGCAGTAAATATTCTGATATCCTGCCACAAATAAATTCTTGATACTCTCCCATTCAGGTCTGTTCAACATCATGTGTCACAATCTCATCTACATCACTGTTACTAGTTCCATGTGTAGCTGGGAACGCTAATCATCACATTCAGAATGCTCTTCATTTGAACTATATCTGTTAGCCTCATCATTGTCTAAAATGTCATCTAAATATTCATTATGCTCTAAATCTAAGCATGCACTGTTGTGGTGCCCAGCCATGCTGACCATGATATCACATCCTGCACAGAAGCTTCTATTTCCTTTGCTTGGCTGGTCAGTACTCCTTTATCCAAGATTGACACTACATAGACAAAAAGTTCAGTGGTACTGTTACAGGTCAGTTTGAACAGCATCTCAGTAAGGTTCTTAGATTCATGGCTACAGGCTATAGAAATGCAGCTTGCAGCTGAATGCATCATGTACAGAAACCTGCAAGTAGAATTTGGATATGTCTGCTATACCCATGCAATGAAACCAGCCTTCATCAAAATAATAATAATCATAATTTAATAGGTTGTATTCCTGAAATAGCTGACATACAAAGACTGTTATTTTCTTTGTTTTGAAGTAACACAGGTCTTGCTGTGAGGACGGAAAACATCCATTCTCATTACAAGGCAATTCCTCACAGATATCATTTGTTCAAAGATGCATATAGTGTTTCAGAAAAATAATTTTGTTATAACTCATGACAGGGTACCAAAAATGTAACACAAAATTTCTTTTTTTTTTTTCAGTGAAGCCATATTACACATAAATATAACACAGAGAAAACATTAAAAATCATGTTCAATTGCAGGCTTTGTTATTAGCATTGTCCATGGGTTATACTACCGGAGAGTTATCAGAGTTGTGCAAAATGGTTACTCTATTTAGCAGAACTACTGACAGTGAATTAGTAAAATCCCATGTGAAGGTAGGTGGGAATACCTCAGACATAGCCCTGCAATTTTTAGAAGGCAATGAAAAGGAACTTGGTGCCTGGGGATATAACTGGGCCATCCTGTCACTGTGGGACATAATACAGAAACCTAGTGCTCCAGGTTGGGGCTTGGATGCAAGCCTGATGATCCTGCTCTATAAAAAAATTACTGTTGTGAAATCCAAAGAAGTGAACATCATATGCAATCCGGCAGAATCTTCTAAGGATGGATATGGCTCAAAAAGGTCTGTTTTGCCAATGAATAATAATAATAATAATAATAATAACAACAACAACAATAATATAATAATAACAACAACAACAACAACAACAATAATAATAATAATAATAATAATAATAAGAAGAAGAAGAAGAAGAAGAAGAAGTAAAACCAAAACTGATGAGAATGAAAATGATCAGAATATCTTAAACTTCTTGTTGTATGTAATCACCTGTCTGCTCACAGCATCTGAGAACTGTCCATATAACTGAGCATCATACTCGCTCATCTTGATTTCATGTAACCGCTGCTTGAAAGCTCTCTGTCCCATTTCACGTGCAGCTTTCTTCACATGCTCTGGCACTGCATCTTTCTCTGCTTGTGTAACCTGTCCAAATCATGTCCTTCATTACTGACTTTCCTTAACAGTATACTTGTATATCTTTAATGTCTGTGCCTGGAGCTTCTAGTTACTTAGTTACGTCACACTGTTATACACTATAATCATGCTGCAGAAATAGCTGGTATTCTCAACTTGATTCCTTTACCTGAAAAATAAATTATGAATAAATCTCACTCATAACACTGGTTGCCTATACTTCACCATATGAATCAGTTTCTTCAGAAAAAGGTTTCCACATCTGGTTTGATTCTACTTACCTGATGAACCTTGTGACCTGCATCCAATCTATAAGGGCCTCCCTTCCCGCCAAGACCTGCTGTATCCCTACCACCTGTGCCTCCAGCCCATGTATTTCCTCCCACATGAGGGGCTCCAGTTTCATCCACTTTACCATGTTTTGGTGCAGTGACATCTAATCCACTGGGTCGTTCTACTGTGAGCTGCAAGTATTTGCGTTCTGGAACAAACCAGTCTAACATTAACCTTTCTGCCACTTTCTATAAGAATATGATGACTTTCAAATATGACTTCTATTCTGCAAATTTTATCTTTTGATAAGCTTTAGCAAAATGTTCCATATCTTATATATCTTGTTACCGTTTATGTTGGAGATGTGTTAGTGGAGATATCAGTAACCTAACTGCCATCACTAATCAGACTTGTACCACATTTAATACTCTTACTGGCATATGCACATTGTTTTGTGTTATGGCTGTCACATAAGAAGTTTTTATCATTTGTTCCTTGTTCCGCTACATGCTATTAGGATTTTATATATGTGTGCTTTTGCCTGACAACACAGCAAGAAGGAAACAACCAGACATCACAATGATATAGAACCATAACAAGATAAAAATGGTGGCATCACTGCATGGACCTCTCAGGACTCTGAATAACACCCCAATATTCCATTTTACCAGAAGAGACACAAGGACAAATCATATTGGTTCAGGATCTTAAATATTGAACATTAATAAGATTTTAATCCAAATGATTGTAAATAACTTTTATATAAAACTTCTGAGTATGTCTTATATAATTTGTTATAGCAGTTCCTGAACATGTTGATCTTATACCTTCTCAAGATGTTCAGTTGACAAAAACACGTAAAGGCAATAAATATCTAGAAATTGAATGACACTGGACAATGTTAACAATTATTATTCTATAATTCATTGTGAGGAATAAAATAAATTTATAATTAATAAAAGAATGATTTATAAGATTAGACTTATCAAGAATTAAATGCATCAGAAAGAACTATAATTATTTCAGTAGGCTGGAAAGTGTGTGCACTAACCAGGTCAGATAAGTCCTGCATGAAGGTGATGATACTGGCATTAACCTTTTGCATGAGATGAATTGATTAGATTGGTTCAGCATACTAGTATTAAAACTGGCACAGCCAAAGAGATGGCATCAAGTATGATATACCAATGTTCAGATGAAAGAACAGGCCTCCATGGTATCTATATCTGTGGTCATTTGAAGGTAATCTGCAGAAGTATCATCAGTTTTTCTGTGCAATTACATTTACCTACAAGCAGCCTTGGTGTCTGTAGCAGGCAATTCTTTGTTGAGGCTTGTCAACATGTTAAGGTAGGACAGGCTTCACACCCATTATACTTCTGTTTTACTGTGTCTACAGAAAATAATTTCACTGTGAAACTGTGCACTACATGAAGGTGATGTTGCATTAAGGTAGGAGAGGCTTTGTAACCTAAGAACCATTATAAATTTTCCTACTAGAATTGGACCTAATTCAGTTTCAATTATTGATAATATATTTATTGATGAACTACAGTTTACAAGCTATGAGGTTACATCCATATCAAATGGATTATTTATCTCATATCTTCCAGTATTTTGCACTATAAAAGATGACTTACTACTTAAAAGAAATATGTATATATGATTATAATATTGCAGAGTTCAATATGAAACTAAGTTACGAAAATTGGGAATCAGTTTTCAACAATAGTGACATCAATACCAGTTTTAATCAATTTTTTAAATATATTTTTGAGACACTTTCATGAGTCATCTCCTAAAAATACAAGACAAAAGTATAAACAGAACTCATGGATATCTACTGGTATTAAAATATCCTGTAAAAACAAGAGGGCTTTGTATGATGAAGTAAAAAAATGTTACAACCCAATATTAAATATGTATTGTAACGTCTTCAGTGGCAAAACACGTTACAGTACTATAAGAATTACTGTAAAATACTAACTAGAGTGATAAATCAAGCCAAGAAGATGTCATATGATAAACAAATTAATTACTCTAAGAATAAAGTTAGAACGACTTGGAGAATAATAAATAATGAACTGCTAAAGAAAACAAATAGAGAAAATATACAATCAATACTGAAGGCAAAATGACTTATAACATGAACGATATTGCCAATAAATTCAATAAATATTTTACTGATGTAGCTGAAAACATATATAAACATGATATATGATATAACACCGTCCTAAGTGCAAACCATATTTATAGGTCTTTCGTTTTGTTCTTCTTTATACACTACATGTTTCGACCCAAACGGCCATCATCAGGTGTATACACTCACTATTATCTGTTACACTGCACTTATTTATAACATTTAAAATTTAAAAACATAGGTCTTCCTGATTAGCACTTATAAAATCTTCGGTTCTAATTTTAAATCCTCTAAAAATTTTTTCTATAAGTTTTAAAATTTAAAAATGTCAGGGTTACCCGCCCTATGTCTGTAGTGCTTAAATATAATATACATAAACACATTAAAGATAATGGTCCAAATGATAAATCCAAACCTATGAACTAGATGACATACTTGACAAATGCTTTTGAGAGACCTATCCCGAGCATTAAAATAATTAAACTACGAGTAGGTAAACTGAAAAGATAATACTGTCCCTCAAATCAAGTCAATCACATGGATATGATGACATATCTAATAATATACTTAAAATTTGTAAAATTTTATTAGTGAACCTATTAGTTTCTTTTGTAACAAGGCTTTGTTTAAGGGTATTTTCCCTGATAGATTAAAATATTGTGACATGTTGACCCCTACCTCCCCAGCTGCACGTAGCGGTAACGTAGCGCTCGCGTATAAGGCGAGTAATCACCCCGCATCCTGGTAGCTATGCAACGCGCGGTGACGTCACGAGCGGAGCCGAAGGTAGCCGAGTCCCCGCAACCTTGAAGCTATGCAAAGCGCATCAACAGCGGTGACGTCACCGAGGGATATCGCGGTTGCTAGGCACCAGTCAACAACTCCGGACAGCGTGGCTAGCAA